TAATTAAAACAAAATAATCTAGTTGCATGTGCTTTACACTATTAATTGAACTGTTATGGAATAGTACTGAACGATGAAGCATCATCCGATTCATGATTGAAACACTTCTGCCACACTGCAGTGTTGTTGTTGTTGTTTCCCCCTGTAACACAAACCTTGGCAAGTCTTTAAAAAAAGTCTAAAATGGGAATCTGGAAAATATACTCTAAGTTAACATGGGAACACTAGCCAACGTTTATTTCTTTTATCAATCGGCTTATTGCTTGTTCTCTCAACAAAAAACAACAGATGTATTAAGCTATTCATAATGGAAGATTTGCATTTCATATGCTTAGTGCCCTGCAGGCTCAAAGCCCCAAGCAATTTCCTTTCAGTATGATGAAGAATAGTTCTGTGTGACTCCGAAGGCCACAACATTCATGGAAAAAACCCAGACATTGCTTCAGAATAAGATATTGCTTTTCCTGTCATGAATCTGATGTCTGCAACTCACTTCACTGAGGTGACACATGGAATACCAGCTCTGTTTCTAATTAAAAGGTTCTCTTCCAAACAGATCTTGTCTTGACATCAATGAAATCCTGTACATAAAAGAGTGGAAACAAGAAAGAGCATTCATTCTGCTGCTACATTCAGCAGACCAAGGCCCATATATATCCATTCAGAAGAATCCAGGGGTAAAGGTTGTCTTGAACGGTACCACTAGGACTGTCAGGGGTAAGGGTGTGCACTTTGTATCTCTGCATTTTTCTCTAACACACTTCATATGCAAAACTAGTGAGGCATCAAACTAAGTGGGTTGGGTTTTTTTGTATGCTGTTTTGCTACATATCTTTTGTTTGGGGTGGAGGGGTGCATTCAGACATCCTGAATTGGTACATTCCAAGAAAAATATTACTTCTGTATGTATAAAGCCATTCCTGACACAAGTTACTCATGACTGTGTCCAAAGCGAAAGCAGTTACCTGTGCTTGGGGGATGACTCTTGCAGCAACCATTGCTAGCCTCATGGGCCATGCTGTACAAGGAAGTCCTGGTTGTCCAGTGCTTGCTGGGCACCCCACCCACTTGAGAAGGCATGGTGTGTAGAAGGTAACACTGTACCCTTCCAAGCATGGGCAGATTCTCTAAGAGCTGCAACTTAGAGGTAATGCTCTCCTCCTGGATGTGATTGCCTAAGGGATGTTCATTGGTTTCCTGTCACTTTATTTAGCAACATTTGCTGCCTTCATCCAGCTTAGGGAGGGTTCCTGCGATAGAAGTGGTACTTCTACCAGTAGAAGAGCCACCTAAGGTGGAGGAGTGCTCCTTAGGCAAGAAATTCTGCTGAATGGAATGGTGGGACACTAGCCTGAAAAGAGATCTTGTGGCCAGATCTCTATGCAACCTTCAAATGCTTACTCTACAGGTCTTCTTAGATCATATGAATAACCACTAGGGAATAATCATATTTAGCATTTTTTTCAGACACTTCATATACATCATCTCAGTAATCCTTACAAGGTAGTACAGTACTATCTCATATGGCACAAGTCCAAGAAAGAACTCCTTGCTGAAGACCACCTAATACATTCATGGCAGATGAAAAGTTTGATCTGGGCTCCTTCCAATTCACAGTTCAGGCTCTCTGCTTTACGAGCTTAGAGATCACGTGTCCGTCCTACATTATTGTGAACCCTCCAGGTAATTACTCTGTGCGACAGAGGCTTGTTACACATTGGCCAACATTGTGTCACAATCAGGGCACTTTATGGAGCTGCAGATCATTTTGCATATCATGTAGAACTTCCTACAATGGTCTGCATTCAAGATGGGACTACACTAAAGACTGATTCATACATGCTCCTTGTTTGCTACTGTTCACCATGGAATTGCATGTGCAAATAAGCTGGCATAGGCAGAACTTTTTTTACTGTCTCATATACAGCGGCCTGGTTCATATACACCTGTAGATTTATCACACGACAGCTTCAACATCAAAAATGAATACCGCAGATCATGACAACTCAAACACTGTGGGTTGTTTCCAAACAGTTTTTCTGTTGTTGAAATAGGGGAAGGAGCCTTTGCTCACCAAAGAGGCTATTCTGGGAACTACATGGGCAAAAGACATGTGGAATAAGTGATGGGAATAATGAGGGGATTTGGGCAAGACTCAGTGAAAAAGCTGCTTGGATCTAACCCTGTGCTTTTCAAGCCAGTTCACACATTCAGCTGTCACTCATCAAGTGAAGTGTGTGAACCAGCCCTTAGACATGGTAATGATAGCTAGTTTTATCATACTGAATTATAACTACAAGAGGAGCGTCTTTGGAACTCAAATCTGCTTGGAACTCTGACAAACTGCTCTCCATACATCAGACATCTGCTTCAAAAGATGCACACATCTTCTTTCTTAGCTCCATGGTCAAACAAACAAACAAGACTAGAACTGAGAACATTAAAGGAACAGAATGTACATTTGGACCAACACAGTGTAAAGGTAACAATCACAAGAGCAAAGAGGTTTGTGCTATTTGATTTACACAAATGGAGCTTGGAGATAGCTCCGAACAGGTCACTAGTAAAAAAATCAGGCTGCTCTTGAGCTGGTTTATTTTCAAATCTTTCTAAAAATAACATTATTCACATATAAATTATTGCTGGTATTTTCCTGCGCGTATGATATTTGGCATAGATAATACTAGAAAGAAACAGAAGGGAAAAATATCTTCAATCAATCTAGTGCAATTTAGAAGTGAAAAGATGTTATAGGGTGAGTTGAAGGGCCGAGAGAGAGACGAAAGGACTAGACCTAAGCAGGCTGACTCAGAAGTAAGTCCCATGCTGCTCAGTGGAATTACTGTCCAGTAAGTGCGCTTAGGATTCCAGCTGTAATACGAAACCCTGGAAGAACTACTCTTCTCAAGGTGGTAAAAACAGATCTTCATCTCCATAATTCTTTTGTCAATAAGATTCCATGGGGACCACAAAACAACCGGGGGCAGAAGGGGGGAGTAACAAGAAGAAACCAGCAGTGAAACCTGATGGGCACTTCTGTTAACACATAGAACCTCCAGGGGGTGGCAAGACAATCTCTCCCCCAGCACCTTCCCCACTGCAACTCCTTGCAAAGACATTTCTGACAACCAACAGGGTTCCAGGTACCTGTCACAGGAAGGATCATCAACCTACGGCTCTAGAGCCATGTGTGGCTC